TTTTTTTTTTTCCCTATTTGTAGAGACAAGGTCTCACTCTTGCTCAGGTTGCTCTTGAACTCCTGAGTTCAGGCAATCCACCCACCTCGACCTCCCAGAGGGCTAGGATTACAGGAGTGAGCTATTGCACCCAGCCTGCATCTTACTTTTTAATGTTTTTTATTTTGGAAATTTTCAAAGGAAAAAATAGTATAACAGACTCCCATGTGTCTATCACGTAGCATTAACCATTCTCGACATTTTGCTAACCTTGTTTTATCCATCCCCCACTCCCACTTTTGCTAGATTGTTTTAAGGACATCTCAGGCAACATGTCATTTTACCTGTAAACACTTCAGTATATCTCTGAGATAATAAGGGATTTTTAAAAAAATACAGTAGAACCTCTGTAAGTTGACCACCAACGGACTCTAAAAACCTGGTCAACCCTAGGCGGCACCTGTGGCTCAGTGAGTAAGGTGCCAGCCCCATATACTGAGGGTGGCAGGTTCAAACCCGGCCCCGGCCAAACTGCAACAACAACAAAAATAGCCAGGTATTGTGGCGGGCACCTGTAGTCCCAGCTACTCAGGAGGCTGAGACAGAGAATCGCCTAAGCCCAAGAGTTGGAGGTTGCTGTGAGCTGGGATGCCATGGCACTCTACCGACGACAAATCGAGAATCTGTCTCAAAAAAACCCCAAAAAACCTGGTCAACATATGGAGGTGGTCAACATCAGGAACTAGGCCTACTCTACTGATACGTACACGTGGTGCCTGTCCACTCTGTAAAAATTAGGCCAACACAGGGAGGTGGTCAGCTCTGGAGGTTCTACTGTATAACCATCATCACACCTGGTCAAATTGAGTCAATCTCCCTGGTGGCCTGGTGGGATGGCAGATGGCTTTTTGTGGTTGATTTGTTCAAGTCAGACCAGAAACTAGATCCGCCTTCTGTGTTTGGTTGTTATGTCACTTAAATCCTTTTTATCGTTGTAAGAATTTTCCCTCCCCTTTTGTGATGCCGTTGGTCTGTGAGGGAAACTGTCATTTATCCTGTGACATACCTCCTATCCTGGATTTCATTCATTGTTTTCTTGGGGTGTGTTTAATTTATTTTTCCATACCCATAGTTTTTGTAAACTACAGTGCAGAATCAGTTTTTATTAGATTCCATTTCATTTCTTAGTTATGGAAACCTCATCAGGAGTGTGTGATGCCCTTTCTACTTGAGGTCACATCAGGGGGCACAGACTTAGTAATAAGCACGGGCAGATGGTTGTGAGTTAAACTTTTCCATTTTTTGATGTTTCTACCTAGTTTTTAATATAAACCAAACAATAGAAAACCATCTTTAAAAAATAACTTTCTGGCTCAGTGCCTGTAGCTCAAGCGACTATGGCACTAGCCACATACAGGAGAGCTGGCAGGTTTGAATCCAGTCTGGGCCCACCAAACAACAATGACAACCACAACCAAAAAATAGCCGGGCGTTATGGTGGGTACTTGTAGTCCCAGCTATTTGGGAGGCTGAGGCAAGAGCATCACTTAAGCCCAGGAGTTGGAGGTTGCTGTGAGTTGTAATGCCACAGCACTCTACCCAGAGCAACAGCTTGAGGCTCTGTCTCAAAAAAAAAAAAAATAAAAAAATAACTTTCCCTCTCTGCTCACCTCTCTTGAATCCATGGGAACAGCTGATGTGCCTCCCTCTTCATGGCCCGGGTGTTCTTGCCAATAAATATTCACACATGTCTAGCTGTCTTCTAAAAATAGGATCCTATCTACGTGATGCCCTACAGCATCCCTTTCTCACTTCTCAGTATATCAGATGCCCCTCAAAGCTGGTACGTGAAAGATTCAGGTCGTTCTTTTTAGGGAAGAGTAGTGTTATCACAGAACTAGGAGTTCTCAGCTTCCTGATCCTTTTTTAAAAATTGTAGTAAAACATAATTTTAACCACTTTAAGTGTACAAGTCAGTAGGATTAGGTACATTCTCAGTGTGGTGCAAGAATCACCACCATGGGTCAGGGTGGTGGCTCACTCCTATAATCCTAGCACTCTGGGAGGCTGAGGCCGGTAGATCACCTGAGCTCAGGAGTATGAGACCAGCGTGAGCAAGAGTGAGACCACATCTCTATTAAAAGTAGAAAAACTAGGCTCGGCGCCCATAGCATAGTAGTTACAACGCCAGCCACATACACCAAGGGTGGTGGGTTTGAACCCAGCCCGGGCCAGCTAAACCACAATGACAACTATAACAACAACAACAAAAATAGCCAGGTATTGTGGTGGGCACCTATAGTCCCAGCTACTCAGGAGGCTGAGGCAAGAGAATCACTTAAGCCCAAGAGTTTGGGGTTGCTGTGAGCTGTGACGCCACGGCACTCCACTGAGGATGACATAGTGTGACTTTGTCTAAAAAAAAAAGTAGAAAAACTAGCCAGGTGTGGTGGAGGGCACCTGTAGTCCTAGCTACTTCTGGAGGCTGAGCTAAGAGGATTGCTTGAGCCTAAGAGTTTGAGGTTGCTGTGAGCAGTGAGGCCAGGGCACTCTATTCAGGGTAGCAGAGAGAGACTCTGTCTTAAAAAAAAAAAAAAGAAAGAAAGAAAGAAAGAAAGGAAAGGAAAGAAGTGCCAGCAGCCATAGCCCTCTGCCAGTACGGACTGTGCAGGGGACTGTACTCTCAGGGTTACCCTCATGGGCACCAGGTTGTGCCTCCTCCTCAGAAATCCAAGAACCAACCAGTCAGGGTCCCTCTGCAGAACTCAGGATTTGAAAACTCATTTATTTTATTTTTTTGAGACAGAATCTCACTTTGTCACCCTTGGTAGAGTGCTGTGGTGTCACAGCTCACAGAAACCTCCAACTCTTGGGCTTAAGCGATTCTCTTGCCTCAGCCTCCTGAGTAGCTGGGACTACAGGTGCCTGGCACAACACCCGGCTATTTTTTGGTTGTAGTTATTGTTGTGTGGCAGGCCCAGACTGGATTTGAACCCACCAGCTCCGGTGTATGTGGCTGGTGCCCTAGCTGCTGAGCTACAGACGCTGAGCCTTATTTTTTAAATATTATAAGTAAAAGAATTAAAAATAAGGAAAGAATCACCACCATCAATCTTCAGAACTTCCCTCATCAGATTCTGAACCCATTTGTGGGTTTGATTTTAAGAAAGGCAGCTCCTGCATTCCTTACCCCCAGTTCCCAAGTCCTGCCTGCCCTGAGGCCTCCTTACCCATCCCCTGTCCTCCTTCTCTTCCCTGAAGGTGTGTCTTTATGCGGCTGGCCACCATCTGTGTGCTGGTGTTCACTCTGGGCTCCAAGATCACGTCCTGTGAGAACAGCACATGTGAACTCTGTGGCTACAACCAGAAACTCTACCCAGTGAGCTGTGGGGCTGGCGCGGGGGGTGTCTGGCTGGGCAGGTCGTTCTGGGGTCCAGTGTTGCGGTCAAGAGAACAGGTGTGAAGCAGCATCTGGCACCATGCCAGGTGCTTTTAAGGGCTTGGAAACTAGTCTGTTCTGAAGCTTCAGAGGCATGTCATGTCAGCTGATGCAGGATCAGCAGGGATGGAGACAGAAGGGCGAGTGTAAGGACCCTGGGAGCTTTCTCTACCTCTGATAGGACCTCTCACTCTCCCTCCTTCTCTTTGGATTCAGTGCTGGGAGACCCAAGTTGGGCAGGAAATGTACAAGCTGATGATCTTCGACTTCATCATTATCTTGGCTGTGACGCTTTTTGTGGATTTTCCCAGAAAGTAAGTGTGAGCAGTGTCCCTCTTATACCTATCCCCTCCCCCTAACACACACAACTGGTGGTCCCCCTTGCAGCCTCTCCGCAGAAAGTGATGGATGACTCCCTGGGAACCACTGACAGCTGGTGACTTGCAGACAGTTCCAGGCCATCACCCTCAGGGTCTATTAGTTGCCTGTCTGAAGGTGGCAAGGAAAGTGGAAATCTGGTTTTTTTTGAGACTAGAGTCTCACTATGTTGCCTGGACTAGCATGCTGTGGTCTCAGCCTAATTCACAGTAACCTCAAACTTCTGGGTTTGAGAAATCCTCTTGCCTCAGCCTTCTGAGCAGCTGGGACTACAGGTGCCTGGGTAACTTTTCTATTTTCAGTAGAGACAGGGGTCTTGCTCTTGCTCAGGCTGGTCTTGAACTTCTGCGCTCAACTGATCCTCCCACCTTGGCCTCTCAGCGTGCTAGTATGATAGGCGTGAGCCACCATGCCCAGCTGGAGAGTAGAAGTGTTATAAACAACACCGGTGTCCAGGAGGATTTACTGAGGATGACTTTCTGCCATCAGCATAGCCAAGGGCACTGTCAGAGTAGACCCCCAGGTGGCAGTGTATGCCACATCTCCTGATCTGGGTTCAAGGCCTCTCCCTGCACCTTGCTGGTCACGGGACCTTCCTCAGGTTATTTAAGCTCTGTGCCTATTCTCACCTGTAGAATCGGGATAGCCATGTGGTGAGGAGTAAATGAGACAATTAACAGAGGTGAAAGCACTGAGAACACCATGGTGCAGAACTCAGCAAAACATCACTGTCACCATCAAGAGGGCCTTTCCTGTGTCACTTCTGTTATTCTCTTCTCCTTTGAGTCTTTTTTTTTTGAGACAGAGTCTTACTATGTTGCCCACATTAGAGTGCTGTGAAATCATAGCTTACAGAAATCTCAAACTCTTGGGCTGAAGCGATTCTCTGGTCTCAGCCTCCCAAGTAGCTAGACTACAGGCGCCTGCCACAATGCCCGGCTATTTTTATTTGTTTGTTTCAGTTGTCATTGTTGATTTTAGCTGGCCCAGGCTGGGTTCGAACCCTCCAGCCTCAGTGGCTGACACCCTACCCACTGAGCTACAGGTACCACCTCTTTTTTTTGTTGAGATAGATTCTCACAATGTTGCCCTGGGTAGAGTGCTGTGGGATCACAGCTCACTGTAATCTCAAACTCTTGGACTCAAGTGATCCTCCTGCCTCAGCCTCCTGAGTAGCTGGGACTATAGGTACTTACCACCGTGCCCAACTAGTTTTTCTGTTTTTAGTAAAGACAGGGTCTTGCTCTTGCTCAGAATGGTTTTGAACTCCTGAGCTCAAGCAATCCACCTGCCTCAGCCTCCCAGATTGCTAGGGTTACAGGCATGAGCCACCGTGCCTACCCGCCTGGAGTCTTGAGTGAAACTTCATTTAACCACTTTTCCCCTGCCCACGCATATATTCCACATGGAGGACCAAGGGCTAGCCCATAAAAATAAACATGAAGAAAAAAAAGTGTTCTTTTTAAAAATTATGCAATATGATGTGATTATGTGCTTATTTAAAATTAACATATTTAGAATTTAAATAAATACAGAAGTCTGGAGAACAGTGGGCGTTCTCATTTATGACTACATCTCCTATCTCCTAATTCCTCAATACCATGCTACTCCTCAGAGGTAGCCACTGTTAACACTTTGGGATAGATCCAGCAGCCCTTCAAGATAAAAACACCATCTTATTGCAAATATTCTTGCTCTCCCCTCACTAAATAGGGCCAACAGAGCATCCACATTCAGTCGTGGTATACTTTCTTTTTTTTCTACAAAAAAATATCATGAACAAACTTTCATGTCAGGACACAGAGATCTTCCTCTTGCATTTAATTTGTTTTGTTTTGTTTTGAGACACAGTCTCACTCTATTGGCCCAGGCTAGAGTGCCCTGACATTAGCCTTGATCACAGCAACCTCAAACTCTTGGGTTCAAGCGATCCCTCTACCTCACCCTCCCACGTAGCTGGGACTTCTGGCACCTGCCACAATCCCCAGCTCATTTTTCTATTTTTGGTAGAGATGGGGTCTCTCTCTTGCTCAGGGTGGCCTTAAACTCTTTTTTCTTTTGGAGACAGAGTCTCACTATGCCACCCTTGGTAGTGTGCTATGGCGTCATAGCTCACAGCAACCTCCAACTCTTGGGCTTAAGCGATTCTCTTGCCTTAACCTCCCAAGTAGCTGGGACTACGCCCAACTATTTTTTTTGTTGCAGTTGCCATTGTTGTTTAGCTGGCCCAGGCTGGTTTGAACCTTACTGGACAGAGAGATGAATACCAGATTAGGAGCATGCCCATGAACCCTGGCTCTACCACTTACAAGCCATGAATAACTGGAATTGATTGTACCTTACCTGTACTAACTCATGAAATCATCAGTTACCCTATGATATATTGAACCAGCCTCGGTATATGTGGCCAACACCATAACTACTGTGCTATATGGGCACCACACTAGGCCTTGAACTCTTGACCCCAGTGGATCTTCCCACTTCAGCCTCTCAGAGTGCTAGGGTTACAGGCCACCTCACTTGGCCTCCTCATTCATTTTAAAGACTGTATAATCTATAGTTATTTATCAATCAAGTCCCTACTGATGGGCACTCAGGTTGCCTCTGGTATTTTTGCTGATCTATGCCAATGCCAGTGAACACCTATGTATGTCTGTCTTACACCTTATATGTAAGTCCCCTTGCCATAGGACTTCTGAAGGAAGCTTCTGGGACTCTGGGAGGTGGCATTGCTAGGTGGAGGGCCCTCGTAAGCCACTTTCCATGCAGATGCAGGGTACTTTTTGTCATAAATAGCAAGCCTGGAGTCCAGGGTGAAGAGGCCTCCCTTGTCATTTATTCCCACCACAACCCTGTAAGGTAGGTTGTATTGTAATCCTGCCCTCCACGTGCCTGATGAGAAACATGAAGAAGTCAAAGAACTTGTACTGAGCTGTGGGTCTCAGACCTGGACTCCGAGTGAGTCCAGAGTTCACTATAGTTTACGTCTTTAAGACATATGCACTTTCCATGAGAAACACGCATGGAAGTGGCCCTGATTTTGTGGATGCGGTTCAGTGTCTCCTGTTGGCAGACACTGGGAGCCCGGGTAAAAAATTGTCTGGGTTGGGTGCAGTGGCTCACACCTGTAACCTGGCACTCTGGGAGACCAAGGCAGGTGGATTGGTTGAGCTCAGGAGTTTGAGATCAGCCTGAGCAAGAGTGAGACCCTGTCTTTACTAAAAATAGAAAAACTAGCTGGGCATTGAGGTGGGCACCTGTAGTCCCAGCTACTCAGGAGGCTGAGGCAGGAGGATTGCTTAAGCCCAAGAGTTTGAGGTTGCTGTGAGCCATGGCACTCTACCAAGGGTGACAGAGTGAGAGTCTGTCTCAAAAAAAAAAACAACAAAGTAATTGTCTGATTTGTTTCCAGGCTCCTGGTGACCTACTGTTCCTCGTGGAAGCTGATTCAGTGCTGGGGGCAGCAGGAGTTTGCCATTCCTGATAATGTCCTGGGGATCGTTTATGGGCAAACCATTTGCTGGATTGGGGCCTTTTTCTCACCTCTTCTTCCTGCTATTGCAACCTTGAAATTCATTATCATCTTTTATGTGAAAGAGGTAAGGAGAAGGGGAAAGTGGGAGGTCAGATTCTGGATCATTCTTCACCTTTATGTTTGGAACCTACCCCACATCCCGCAAGACATGTTAAAATTGCATCCTGTGGGCGGTGCCTGTGGCTCAAAGGAGTAGAGCGCCAGCCCTATATACCAGAGGTGGCGGGTTCCAACCCGGCCCTGGCCAAAAAAAAAAAAAAGAAAAAAATTGCATCCCTTATTCAAAACATATTTTTTATCCTGGAAAGATTCTTAATGATTTTTTCATGTTTTTATAATTTTGTGTTTCATTAAGAATTGTTTTGATCCTGTGATATAAATGTTGTTTTCTTTTTTATATAACTGTCTAAAATAGTTACGTCACAGTGGCATTTAAAGAAACATTTGTTAATTTCTCTTTTGTAATTTTCTGTTTGGGTTTTGGAGCCAATGCATTTATTTTCAGGTCTCAGTGATTTGGTAGGCCCTTGAAACAGCCCATAGCTCTTAGGCATTGTGCCAGAACTAAGTGCTTTAATGTATGAACTTGGCCTTGAAGATGAATGGCTCATCTGGGCTTTTAACCTAAGTTCTTTCCTCTTTATTATCGAGAGGCAATACATTTTCACTAGTAAGCATTTAAATAATGCAGATACATACATAGTTACTTCTGTACCTTCTTCCAGAAGTATCCTGTGTTATTGATTACTTATTATGCCTCACCCTGAAAATTCAAGAAATGAAAATAATAATAATGTTAATAATCATGATATGGCAACAATAGCAGATTCGATAACAATACCATATTTCCCCATTCTGCCCCCATTTTATGTAGATTATCATGCAGAGCTTACATTCTCCCTGTGAAGAGTTAAAAAAACATTAGGAAGTGGAAGTTCAGAGAGGTTAAGTAACTGGTCCAAGGTCATACTGCTTATAAGTGACTCCTAGGATTTGAACCCAGGTTTATCTCGCTCCAGAGCCCAACCTCTTAATCCAGTAAGCAAGGACTTGAACTGGACCAGAATTTCTCTACCCAGATGTTTTGGCCTTTGGAGAATGGTCTAATGGTTTCATTTGTAAACTTCAATTGGATAAAGTTGTCCAAGGAGAAAGTGATGTAAGAAAGCTCATAGGTTCCATTTCACCTGTTAGAAGAAAAAAAAAAAGAAAGAAAGCTCATAGGAACTTTTTCCTCCTTTGCAGAAAATATTGGTTAGCCTGTGGTCTCCCAGTGTTATCAGAGTAAAGACAGCGTGGGCTGATGACAGTGCTCACTCGGGACACTCACGCCAGGCCTGTCCTGCCAGCCAGCTGCCCCCAAGCAGGGTACCAAGTGTCCCTGCTACTCAATGTCTTCTGCGTCACAGTATGTTCTGGCCTCGGTTAATGCCCTTCCCAGAAATACAACTTTTTAAAATATTGAGAAATTGTGTGCTGTTACTGTGCTCTTCTCCTCCTCTCCACCTGATACTGCCTTCACACAGTCATTCCCTCAGTGGAAATATGTATTTTTTTTCTTGGTTGCAGTTTGCCTGGGGCCAGGTTTGAACTTGCCACTCTCCATATATGGGGCCAGCACCCCACTTACTGAGCCACAGGTGCCGCCCGGAAATATGTATTTTTAGTATATGGAAAAATATCTGTACTTGTAAACCATTCAAGCAAAATACCTCTTAATTTGGTATACAGGGTGTCCATAAAGTACATGCACAATTTAAAATAGACAGCCTTTTTTTTTTTTTTGAGACAGAGTCTCACTTTGTCAGCCTCGGTAGAGTGCCATGGCATCACTGCTCGCAGCAACCTCAAATTCTTGGGCTTAAGTGATTCTCTTGCCTCAGCCTCCCAAGTAGCTGGGACTACAGGTGCCTGCCACAGAGCCCAACTATATTTTGGTTGTAGTTGTCATTGCTGTTTGGCAGGTCAGGGCTGGATTCGAACCCACCACCTTTGGTGCCCTCACCACTGAGCTACAGGCGCCAAGCCAGACAACTATTTTAAATTATAATGAACTAAATTTCATGGACACCCTATATTAGGGAAGACCCATTTATACAGATTTAAACTCCTATAAAGAATAAAGTTCTTTTTGGAGACAGCCTCTCTCTCTGTGGCCCTGGGTAGAGTGCCATGGCATCATCATAGCTCACAGCAACCTCAAACTCTTAGGCTCAAGAGTTCCTCTTGCCTCGGTTTTTCCATTTTTTTTTTAGTAGAGAAGGGGTCTTGCTCTTGCTCAGGCTGGTCTTAAACTCTTGAGCTCAAGCAATCTGCCCACCTCGGCCTCCCAGAGTGCTAGGATTACAGGTATGAGGCACCGTGCTCTGCTAAAGAATACATTTTTTAGGCTCGGCGCCTATAGCTCAACCGGCTAAGGCGCCAGCCACGTACACCTAGGGTGGCGGGTTCGAGTCCCCAGCCCGGACCCGCCAAACAACAATGACAGCTGCAACCAAAAAAATAGCCAGGCGCTGTGGCGGGCGCCTGTGGTCCCAGCTACTTGGGAGGCAGAGGCAGGAGACTCGCTTGAGCCCAGGAGTTGGAGGGTGCTGTGAGCTGTAATGCCACAGCACTCTACCCAGGGGGACAGCTTGAGGCTCTGTCTCAAAAAAAAAAAAAAAAAAAGAATACATTTTTTAAAAACGTAAATGCTCATACTATACAGAGTTCTGCAATCTACCATTAGCATTTCACAGCCACACAAGCACGTAAAACTGTCTCTCATCCTTCCTTGGGGCTGTATGGTGTTCCATTGTATGGAGGTCCTATTTTTTATTTTTTCTTGATTTTTTAGAGATGCGGTCTCACTCTTGCTCAGGCTGGTCTCAAACTCTTGAGCTCAAGTAATCACCCATCTCAGCCTCCCAGAGTGCCAGGATTGCAGTCATGAGCCACCTTGCCCGGCCTATTTTTTCTCTTTTAGGTTCTCACTCTCTTGCTCAGGCTGGAGTACAGTTATATCATCATAGCTCACTGCTATGAGCCCAAATTTCTGGGCTCAAGGGATTCTCCCACCTCTGCCTCTGTAGTAGCTGGGACTGCAAGCATGTGTCACCGTGCTTGGCTAATTTAAAACAAATATTTTTTTTTAGAAAGCTGGGCATGGTGGTTCATGCCTGTAATCTTATCACTCTGGGAGGCCAAGGCAGGTGGATAGCTTGAGCTCACAAGTTCAAGACCAGCCTGAGCAAAAATCGAGACCTCTTTTTTTCTAAAAATAGAAAAAACTGAGGCAAGAGGATCACTTGAGCCCAAGAGTTGAAGGTTGCTATGAGCTATGATGATGCCATGGCACTCTACCCAGGGCAACAGCTTGAGACTCTGTCTCAAAAAAAAAAAATTTGTGTGTGTGTGTGTAGAGATAGGCTCTGACTATGTTCCCCGGGCTGTTCTCAAATGCCCATCCTCAAGCAATCCTTCTGCCTCCTCAAAATATTGGGATTATAGGCATGACCACCATGCTTCACCTTGACTTTAACCTGCTGAATCCCTACCAGTAGCTATTTGGATTGCTTCTGGTTATTCCCTGTTACTAGTGACTGCGGCAGGAAACAACCTCTCAGATGTTTCTGCTCGTTTTCCTTTCTATTTCATCAGCATGAATTCCCCATAATTATAGTCTGGATTAAACATTTTTTTCTTTTTGATTTATATTGCGGGACTACTCTCTAGAAAGGTTAGACCAATTTATGTTCTCGCCGTAATACATGAACATGCTGATTTCACTTTGTGGAAGCTGTACTTACTGGTCTTAATGTATTTCTTTCCTTTTCTTCCCTTAGCTGAGTCTTCTTTATACCTGCAGACCCTCCCCCAGGCAGTTCAGAGCGTCCAATTCTAATTTCTTCTTCCTGTTGGTATTGTTGATCGGGCTGTGTTTGGCAATAATACCTCTGACAATCAGCATGTCACGGTAAATATGGCTTTGTTTTCTAGAACATTTCCTGGCCTCTTGACCTGTTCCTCTATTATGTTAAAGAGTCCATTGCTTACTTTATTGGCTTTTCTCATGGTGTTCTACCTGCAGAGATTGACAAGTCCCTCATGGCTGGAATGTCTTGGTCTACTTCTACTTGGGTATCACTGTTTCCTGGGCTAGAGTGCAGTGGCATCATCATAGCTCACTACAACCTCAAACTCCTAGGTTCAAGCGATCCTCATGCCTTAGCCTTCCAAGTAGCTGGGACTATAGGTGCCCACCATAAAGCCCAGATAATTTTTCTATATTTTAGAGACAGGGTCTTGCTCTTGCTCAGGCAAGCCTCGAACTCGTGAGCTCAAGTAATCCACCCACCTCAGCCTCCCAGAGTGCAAGGATTACAGGCATGATCCACCTTACCCAGACAACTCTGATTTCTTTAAAATAAGGACTGAGATGGGACACACAGCCTGAGCTAAAAGCAAGACCCTGTCTCTACTAAAAATAGAAAAACTGAGGCAAGAAGATCTCTTGAGCCCAAGAGTTGGAGGTTGCTGTGAGCTATGACACCATAGTACTCTACCCAGTGGGACAGCTTGGATTCTGTCTCAAAAAACAAAATAATAAAATAAGGAATGCATTCACATAGCAAAAATTCAAAATTTATAAAAGAAAATATGATGAAAATTCATTTTTTAATTCTATTTGTCAACTACTTAGTTTTTTTTTAGAGACAGAGTCTCACTATGTCGCCCTCAGTAGAGTGATGTGGCGTCACAGCTCACAGCAACCTGAAGTTCTTGGGCTCAGGCAATTCTCTTGCTTCAGCCTCTGAGTATCTGGAACTACAGGTGCCCGCCACAACACCCAGCTATTTTTTTTTGCTGCAGTTTGGCTGGGGTGGGGTTCAAACCTGCTACCCTCAGTAGATGGGGCTGGTGTCTTACCCACTGAGCCACAGGTGCTGCCCAGCAACCTCTAACTCTATTCTCTTGCCTCAGCCTCCCCAGTAGCTGGGACTACAGGCTCCCACCACAACGCCTGGCTATTTTTTGGTTGTAGTTGTCATTGTTGTTTGGCAGGCCTGGTCTGGATTCGAACCCGCCAGCTCCAGTGTATGTGGCTGTCACCCTAGCCACTGAGCTACAGGTACGGAGCCTACAGTACTTAGTTTTTTCCTGGGAGACACCCATCTCCTCATTTCTCTCTCTTTTCTCTCTCAGTAGTCCTTTAGAATTCCACGGTATGAAGGACTATAAATTCTTCATCTATTTCCTTAAACTATATTTAGCTTAATTCTAGGAATTTATTTTTATCTCTACGTATAAGTAGGGTTGCAATGGAAAATCTTAAACATAAACCTTTGGGATGTGGATTCAGGCAATTCTTTCAGGTCTTAATTTTAGTGTTTTTCCATTGTAATTTTCTTTTTTTTACTGTTTTTTATTTTCAAAAACTTGAAAATAAACTTGAAAAAAACAGCAACAGTGAAACTCATATACTCTTTAACAGGACATCCTGTTCACATTTTGCTACGTAGTTGTCCCTCAATATCCTTAGGGAACTGGTTCCAAAACATCCTCGCACATACCAAACTCCAGAGGCTCAAGTTTCTGACATAAAATGGCAGAGTATTTGCATATAATTTATGCACATCCTTTTATATACTTTAAATCATCTCTAGATTATTTGTAACACCTAATGTAACAATGTAAATCTCTATAGTTGTTATACTACTGGTTTTTATTTGTAATTTTTATTGTTGTATTGGTGTTTTTTAATAGGTTTTCATTTTTTCTAATTTTTTTTTGTTTTTTTGAGAGAGAGTCTCACTATGTTGCCTTCGGTAGAGTGCCATGACATCACAGCAACCTCCAACTCTTAGGCTTAAGGGAGTCTCTTGCCTCAGCCTCCCAGGTAGCTGGGACTACAGGCACCCACCAGAATGTCCGGCTATTTTTTGTGGCAGTTGTCATTGTCATTTAGCTGGCCTGGGTCAGGTTCGAACTGGCTCCCTTGGTGTTATGTGGCTGGCACTGTAAGCACTGTGCTACGGGTGCCAAGCCTTTTCTAATATTTTTCATCTAAGATTGGTTGAATCTGCTGATGCAGTACCTGCAGACTTGGAGGATTGATTATGTGTTATATATAACATATACAGTAGACCCTCCATAGATGACCGCCTTCCTACACTGACCGCCTCCTTAGGTTGACCTAAGTTTCATAGACCAGACACGCACCCCATGTACGTACCGACTGTTTTTCATGGAGCCTCACTTTCCCAAGTACCACAGTAGGCCTGGTTCCTTAGGTTGACCACCTCTGTAGGTTGATGGGTTTGTTACAGTCCTTTGGGTGGTCAATTTACGGAGGTTCTTCTGTATGCCCTTTTTTTTTTTTGGATGATGAACATTTGAAATTAAATTGTAGGCACCATAACCTTTCACTCCTAAGTACATCTGTAGGCAGTTCCTAAGAACATGCTCCTTCATGTGTAGCCATAATAACATATTCTACTTGAGAAAATTAATACTAATACATTCCTGCCATTTCCAAATTTCTCCAATTATCTTAAAATAGTCTCATATAGCTGAATTTTAAAAATAACAATCAGGTTCTACCCATTGCTCTCATTTGTTGTATCTCCTTAATTTCTTTTAATCTTCCAGTCTTTGAGGAGTGCAGGCAAATTTCTGCATTCTAAATTAAGAGATCAGAGAATAGAATGCCCACATCCTGGATTTGTCTGTTTTCTTTGTTTTGTTTTGTTTTGAGACAGAGTCTCGCTATGTCACTCTTGGTAGAGTGCCGTGGCATCACAGCTCACAGGAACCTCAAAATCTTGGGCTTAAGTGATTCTCTTGCCTCAGCCTCCCTAGTAGCTGGGACTACAGGTGCCCACCACAGTGCCCAGCTATTTTTTGTGTTGCAGTTGTCATTGTTGTTTTATCTGGCCCAGGCCAGGTTCGAACCCGCCAAACTTGGTGTATGTGGCCGGTGCTGTAACCACTGTGCTATGGCTACTGCCTATGATTTGTCTGTTTTCTTGTAGTGTCATTTAACTTGCTCTTCCATCCTGAATTTCCACTAAACTGGAAATTAGGGCTAGAGAGTTGATGACATTTCACAGCAAGTATTTTTGACTAGAATAATCCAGAAGGCCCAGAAGGTCAGGTAGTTCTTTGTAAGCCATTGTTAGCAAAATGTTCTGGGTGTTCAGAGGTGAGACATTCAACCTGTGCTGGACACCTCATTCTGAGCCTCTTGGTCCATGTCCTGGCAGCATCCCGTCCTCTAAGGCCTGTGGACCATTCACCAACTACAATACCACCTGGGAGGTCATCCCCCAGACGGTGAGCACCTTCCCCAGCTCACTGCAATCCTTGGTCCATGGCATCACGTCAGAAGCCTTTGCAGTTCCTTTCTTCATGATCATCTGGTGAGTGAGAAGCACCTGGACCCTGGCAAGTATTTCACCTGAGGCACGTGGGCTCCTCCCAGTGGGAAATTGGTGGGGAGGGGGGAACATGCTGAACTTGTCAAGTTACTCAGCTTCTCTGAGCCTCGCTTTCCCATCTCTAAAATGGGTATAATAGTCGCTCTTTCAGAGGGTCTTTGAGCAGATTCAGACAGATCACATGTAAGGCACTTAGCCCAATGCCTGGCTTGTAAAAACTCAATAAACGTTGCCTATTGTTAACACTACTGATTATTCACAAAATCACCTGCTCATTGAAAAGAAATAGATTACTGGACAGAGAGATGAATACCAGATTAGGAGCATGCCCATGAACCCTGGCTCTACCACTTACAAGCCATGAATAACTGGAATTGATTGTACCTTACCTGTACTAACTCATGAAATCATCAGTTACCCTATGATGTATTGATAGATGTTATTACAATACAACCCCACCATCTTGCAAGAAGTGGGCCAGAAAAAAAAAAGCATCTGTAAAAAGGCAGGATACCTCTGATGAGATTAATTAAATGACTCAGGGGAAGCTGTGCAGCTACTGAGCCTGGAATTCACAGGATCTGGGGGTTCCAGCGGCTCACCCTAATCATTTCATCCCAGCTGTCGTTTGGCTGGCGCCACCTGGTGGCAGTTAATCTGATCTGACTTTGGTGTCTGTGGAGGCCGTTTTTTTGTAGCTTGCAGGGACTTCCAGGAGAATGTTATGGATATCAGTTTTTCCAGGATCTCCTGGTTACTTGGCTCTCATTTCATTAGTCTTGTGCGTTCATATTGGACTGGAAACCCACTCTCCTTTAGTAAAGGAGGTTGCCTAATGTTTTTCACAGGGGCCTGCCCCACGCCACTGGCCCCTCTCACCAAAGATAATAACTTCAACGACCTGCATTTGAGAGCCGGGCCCCGCACAGAAGACATGAACTAGTTTTTAATGGCTTTTAATCAAAGTAGTATTATCTCAAGCTTGCAAACACTGGGGTTTACTACATTTTCCCCATTTTACAGAAGAGGAAACAAGCCTGGAGCTTCCACAGTGATCATCCACATGTTAATTATCTGCCCAGCTGGTTTAGAGACCATCTGCCTCTCATTCTGTACTCGCCATCAACAACTTCTAATATTTACTCACAACCAAGGCTTACATCAGACTCTCCTGCCACTGGCAAAAAAATAAATAACTCCACTGGCTGTTTTTCACACTCTCTACTTGGGAGAAATGAGAAATGAGGGTGTTCTTTTTTTTTTTTTTCTAACAAAAGTAAAACTGGTCCAGGCAAAATGTGTTACGTTGTTTCTCTAGTGGCCTTCAAATAAGCCCAACTTCTTCATGACCTGTCTGTCTTGTGTTGCAGCCTCGTTATGTTTTACTTCATCGCCCTCGCCGGGGCACACAAACGGGTGGTCGTCCAGCTCCGAGAGCAGCTGTCCCTGGTAAGGAAGCATAGGCCCAGAGAACCATGGCTAGGGCCATTTAATCCAGGTCATCATTTGAGAAGTGACACTTTTCACCAGGAGGGAGCAGAATTGCTGTGGCCCTCTTTCACCACCGTCTCTCTAAAACACCGCTTTCAGTCTTAGCCACCTCCAGCTTCGTTCATTCACTGACTCATCTATCTCTTCAACATATACAGTAGAACCTCTGTAAGTTGGCCACCCATGGGACTGTAACAAGCTGGTCAACGTAAGGAACTAGGCCTACTGTACTGACATGTACATGGGGTACATGTCCAGTCTATAAAAATTAGGTCAACTTAAGGAGGTAGTCAACTATAGGGGTGGTCCTACTGTATATTGAGCACCTACTATGTGCTCTGTATGGTGGGAGGTGCTGGGATACACTGGTGACATGAGAGACAAAGGTAGAGTGAGAAGTTGATATAGATGGTGCCTGCAGAAGGCCTCTTTAGGCCAGGTCCAGTGGCTCACACCTGTAATCCTCGCACTCTGGGAGGCTGAAGTGGGTGGACTGCCTGAGTTCAGGAGTTTGAAACCATCCTGAGCAAGAGTGAGACCCTGTCGCTACTAAAAATAGAAAAACTAGCCAGGTGTTGTGTCAGACACCTATCATCCCAGCTGCTTGGAAGGCTGAGAGAAGGGGATTGCTTGAGCCCATCATTTGAGGTTGTTGTGAGGTATGATGCCACAGCACTCTAGCCAGGGCAGAGATTGAGATGCCATCTCAAAAAAAGAAAAATAAAAAAAAGGACCTCTTTAAGGAACCAATTATTTGGAAGTCCTAATTAGGCAATTAGGCATGAGAGTGATAATCTAGGCACTTCTGGGGCCAGGATGGACAGAGAGAGGCAGCTGGAGGCTGGTGAGTGATGGAAGAAACAAATTGACATTGTAGTATCAGCCAGAATCATAGCATAGCCTAAGGGTCTGTAAGAAGTTTGGCTTTTATTATGCATGTGATGGGAAGCCACTGGAGGGTGTTAAGTGCAAGTCTAATGTGCATTTTTTTTTTTTTTATGGAAACAGAGTTTCATTCTGCTGCCTAGGCTAGAGTGCCAGGGTGTCAGCCTAGATCACAGCAACCTCAAACTCCTGGATTCAAGCGATCCTCCTGCCTCAGCCTTCTGAGTAGGTAGAACTATAGGCATCCGCCACAATGCCTGGCTGTTTTTTTCAATTTTTTTTTTTTGAGACAAAGCCTCAAGCTGTCCCCCTGGGTAGAGTGCCGTGGCATCACGCTCACAACCACCTCCAACTCCTGGGCTCAAGCGAGTCTCCTGCCTCCACCTCCCAAGTAGCTGGGACCACAGGCGCCCGCCACAACGCCCGGCTATTTTTTGGTTGTAGCCGTCATTGTTGTTTTGGCGGGTCCGGGCTGGGGACTCGAACCCGCCACCTTAGGTGTACGTGGCTGGCGCCTTAGCCGGCTGAGCTATAGGCGCCGAGCCGTTTTTTTCAATTTTTAGTAGAGATGGGGTCTCTCTCTTGCTCAGACTGGTCTCAAATTCCTTACTTAAAATGATCTCTGGCCTCTTCCTCCCAGAGTGCTAGGATTACAGGCATTAGCCATCTGAGCCACTGTACCTGGCCTTATGTGCATCTTTTTTAAAAAAAGCATTAGTAGGGCCGGGCATGGTGGCTCATGCCTATAATCCCAGCACTTGGAGGCCAAGGCAGGTAGATTGCCTGAGCTCACAGGTTCGAGACCAGCCTAAGACAGAGCAAGACCTCATCTAAAAATAGCCAGGCATTGTGGTGGGTGCCTATAGTCCCAGCTACTTAGAAGGCTGGGGCAAGAGGAACGCTGAGCCCAAGAGTTTAAGGTTACCATGAGCTATGACACCATGACACTCTACCAAGGGTGACTGAGTGAAACTCTGTCTCAAAATAAATAAATAAATAAATAAAAAGCATTAGTCCTATAGAGATAGCAGGCTGGGAAAGGGACACAGTGGAAAGAGGCAGACCAGATCAGAAGCCATTATGATAGTCCAGTGGTTAGAATCTCTAGCTCTGAGTCTGGAAGATAGTTAAGAGATTTATTTCAAACATATTAAGTGTACTTTTGACCTCATTTCTTTTTCCAGGAAAGTCGTGATAAACGCTACCTAATCCAGAAACTAACAGAAGCCCAAAGGGACATGAGGAACCAACCAGCAAAGACCGATGAGGAACCCATGAGCATAGACTGAGCAGCCATTGGTGCAGCCTGTTGCTTCTCAGCTGACCCACTGGCTCTGTCAAGTCTACAAAGTCCACTGGGGGTTTCAGTGGAAATTTTAAAATATATTTTTGCAGTTTAGGCTCTTCCTGAGCGTGGCTCCATATGTGTACCTGTGTTTACCAAACCCAGCCCTTAGGAAAGGTCATGACTTCGAAAACCAGGGCAAACCTGAGCCTTTGCCTGGAGGCCAGCACTCAGTTGATGACTCTACCATTAACTTATTAAGTTATTCAGGCTTTTACAAGACTTGAGGAGAGACTTCTCTGTTTTTTAAGGGCTTATTGGTGTCATCTTTTAAAGTTAGCATTAGAGCTTATTGTTCACAAGGATGGATTATTTCTTGTGAACCATGTTGTAGGGGTTTACGCTGAGGAATATTCCTTAAGAAGCAGTGACCCTTTTGAATGGCTTGGCTGACTTAAAACCAAACCTGATTTTTTTTTTTTTACTGAGCAGAAGTCCTTGAATAATGAGGTTGGAAACAAATGGTGAGAATATGAAAGGACGGTTATGTTATTTCAGCTCATAGTAGTAGTAATAGGAAATAGAAATCCCATCCCCACTATGTGAATAGTCCTTGGATGCCCTGGATTAAGCCTCAGGAGGAAGGGAATTGCTGCAGCAAGGCTGTTTGGATTTTTAGCTTTCGGAGCATTTTGCTGTAGCCTCATTTATTACTCAGGGGAAAACTGTCTTTAGGGGTTTAGTTATTCATAAGCCTTCAGTTCCCATCTAGTCCTGAGTTCTCAGACTTGAAGAGGACCCAGTGCCTTCAAAATTAAGAAACAGGCAAAGTTTGTCTCTCAGCCTTCCAAATGCCATTTCCCCTCCTGGTCTACACTGAGGCCTTCATTTCTGAAGGACACTTAGCATTTCAGAGCCAGGCTGGAAAGGGCAGTTTGACACTGGAGCTGAGAGTTTATGTAAGCGTTTGGAGATGTGGGTTGCCGTTCAGCCAATAATCTCACCAGCCCAGGAATGTGTACCAAGCCCACCTGGAGGCTGGTTTCTTAAAATGTGTCCATATTTTTAAGGGCTATCATTTTCCTACGCTTACAATTTTAAACGCATATGCCTTTGTTTTACAAAGCATGCAGAATATCTAAGATTTCTGTTACAGTAAAAGCCATATGCAGTAAATACCTCATCACGAGCTTACCGGAAATTGATAGCTCTGAACCTTTTAATAAAAGCCTAAGTTATTGTTTAATGTAATCACTTTTCATTTTAATATCTTCAAAATCTTTTTCAAAGTACTGTAGTTTTGTAATGGACTGTTTGAGCCTTTCTTCCATTATTTTTCTTTCAGTGGCTCTAAACCTTTCCTGGGGAGTAGCCTGGAATTTAAAGTTGGGGGCCGGTGTTAGAAAGCTGCCAGCCACTATTAAGAATAATCCCCACCCTACTTCCATTCCTCAGAAATGACTGACTCCTTGTTCCAAAGACCAAAGATAGTATTCTTGTCCCTTTGCCACAACTGCTTTCTTGTTCTTCCACAAAGATAGTATTAGCATGGGATAATTACCTGTGAGACCAATGAGCCTTTCACTCTTTGCAGTCTTGTTAAAGTCTGTAATTGTCTACATCTAATATCTGGTATCATGAAATTCTGAATAACTCACAGTTCACCCAACCTTACTTTCAAAACAAATTCTAATTGTACATATTTCAGCCTAGTGCCTTTATAATACAATGTTCTTGCCTTCAGTGTGCTGCTGAAGACACTTGAATTTTCTGTTTATCTGTGTGTGTGTAAGATGTACACAATGAAAATGTATGGCTGTTTTCTTTCCCTATTATAAAAGTGATACTGAAACATGCTAACTGTATTAGTTTTAGCTATATGCTGCTAATTTACATACCTCTTACTTGAATTTTTTATATGTTTTGGTAACTTTAATAACTAGATGATGTCTGTATTATTTTTAAAGTACAGCTCTCTAACAAATGTGCATTAAAACTACTGATTAAACAACGTCTTAAAGGTTTTAAAATGTGACTGTGATTATTTTGAATTTATGGAGGCTTCTTGTTAGGAATCAAGTGATCATGGAAAACAGTAATAATTTGTTGAGTTGTTTTTTGCTTTTTCCTAGAATCAAAGAGAAGAAAAAAGTGTTTAATGCAATTATCAGATGCGTGCCCTTTTTTTGAGACAAAGTCTCACTTGGTCACCCTTGGTAGAATGGATCACAACTCACAGCAACCTCAAACTCTTGGGCTTAAGTGATTCTCTTGCCTCAGTCTCTCAAGTAGCTGAGACTACAGGCACCTGCCACAATGCCCAGCTATCTTTTTGTTGTTGTTTTCATTGTTTAGCAGGCCTGGGCCAGGTTTGAATCTACTAGCTCTAGTGCATGTGGCTGGTGCCCTAACCACAAAGCTACAGGTGCTGAGCCCAGATGCGGACTTTTAAGATTTCTTGGCTCTGAGGCCAGGTGAGATATCCCACACCTACAATCCTAGCACTCTGGGAGGCTGAGGAGGGAGGATTGCTTGAGCTCAGAGGAGTCTGAAACCAACTTGAGCCAGAATGAGAACCCGTCTCTAAAAATAGCTAGGTGTTGTGTTGGGCACCTGTAATCTAGCTTCTCAGGCGGCTGAGACGAGAGGATCACTTGAGCCCAAGAGTTTGAGGTTGCTGTGAGCTATGATGCCATGGCACTCTACCCAGGGTGACAAAGTGAGACACAGTCTCAAAAAATAAATAAATAAATAAAAGACTTCTTAGCTCTGTTGAAGCCAGAGAATTACTTAGTCAAACAGATAAGTATGTGTGGCTATATGTGTAAAATAATGTATATCTGAGATCCCACCTTTTCCCTCCTTAATAACATCTGAAGTTATTTCCATATAAGCAACTACCTCATTATTTTGAATGGCTACATAGCATTCTGTAGCATAAATGGTATACTTACTTCATAACCATTCCAAGGCTAATATATACTTAGGTAATTTTCACCCTCTCTTTCTTTACAAACACTGGAAACTGAAAGTTTGAAAGAACCTGCAAACCCTCTCTGTCTTGCCCCAGTCTGCTCCAGGCCCTTGTTCCTAAGGCGGCTTTATAGGCTCACACAATCACAGAATATTCTTATCCCAGCAAAGAGAAGAATCCAGTTTGCATTAACTCTTAAGTTGGAAGAGTAAACTCTTGCAGCTATAAATCTGATTGTAACTACCCACTTATATAAATATCAGAGAAGAAGGGAATTAATTTTGCCAGGGTGGCATTACAAGGTTTGACTCTTGGGAAAAGAACTTCTGAATGTATTTTCTTTATACAGGGTGTGGCTTTACTAGTAAGTTCCATGTGGTATATTTCCAATGCATGGGATGTGCTCAGGACATGGAATAGCAGGGTTTCTTGTTTAATTGTGTGATTTTGTACTAGTGTCTTCACTTCTCTGACCTACAGTTCCCCCCTTTTTTTTGGAGACAGAGTCAGAGTCTCACTCTGGCACCCTGAGCAGAGTGCTGTGGCATCATAGCTCACAGCAACCTCAAGCTCTTGGGCCCAAGATATTGTCTTGCCTTAGTCTTTCTATTTTTAGTAGAGTCAGGGTCTCGCTCTTGCTCAGGCTAGTCATGAACTTGAGTTCTATTTCATCTTTAAAATGGAAAACTAATACATATAAGGTTGGGTGTGGCGGCTTTTGCCTTATAATCCCAGCACTTTGGGAGCCTGAGGCCCAGGATGATCACTTGAGGCCAGGAGTTTGAGACCAACATGGGCAACATAGTGAGACCTCATCTCTATAAAAAATTTAAAAATTAGCTGGGTGTGGTGGTGTACAGCTGTAGTCCTAGCTACTGGGGAGGCTGAAGTGAGAGGATCACTTAAGTCCAGGAGGTTGAAGTAGCAGTGAACTATATTAGTGCCACTTACTTCAGCCTGGGTGACAGAATAAGGCACTGTCTAAAAAAATAAATAAATAAATGAGATATATACATATATGTGTGTGTATATATATATACATACATATATATGCACACACACAATTCATTTTATTTTCTAGTCTTGAATTAAAGAATAACAAGCTTTTTCTTTTTGAAATTTTGTCATAAAAATATTATAGAAAATCAAAAACTATAGAAAAAAATGAAATCACTCATAATACCATAAATAGACATCTATTGTTAATCTTATTTTTTTTTTGAGACAGACTCACTCTGTTGTCCTTCATCGAGTGCCCTGGCATCATAGTTTACAGAAACCTCAGACTTAAGTGATCTTGCTTAGCCTCCCAAGTAGCTGGGACAACAGGCACCTGCCACAACACCTAGCTAATTTTTCTATTTTTAGTAGAGAGAGGGTCTCGCTCTTGCTTAGGCTGTTCTCAAACTCCTGAGCTCAGACAATCAACCAGCCTCAGCCTCCCAGAGTGCTGGGAGGATTACAGGTTTAAGCCACAACACTTGACCACAAATGGATAATTTTTAAATGTTCCCTTGTTTTACATTTTGTTTCCAAATTTTCCCAGCAAGAAATAACTAGTACAGCTATAAATCTTCATCAACATTTTCTCCTTAGGAACAGGGACCTAGAAGTTTGATTATGGCAAAGGTATTGAACATTTTAAGGCTTTTGAGAGCCAGATTTATGTTCTCAGTAGCCTTAGCTGAGAAAGTTACGTCAGCCTTACTAAATATTAAGTATTTGGGCTCATCTTAATTTTAAATTATTACAGTGTTAATTTGAACACAGTTTTACAAAAACTAGAAATTCAATTATTTCACACGTTTTGTATCCTAAAATATTTTACAATGAATTCTGATAGGCTGGGCACAGTGCCTCAAACCAGTAACCCTAACACCCTGGGAGGCTGAGGTTGGAGGATCACTTGAGTTTAGGAGTTGGAGACCATACCTGAGGAAGAGCTAGACCTCAGCTCTTCTAAAGAGAAAAATTAGCTGGGTGTCGTGGCAGGATTCTACAGTCCCAGCTACTCAGGAGGCTGAGACTGAGGTATAAGGATCACTTGAACCCAGGAGCTTGAGGTTGCTGTGAGCTAGGCCAAGGCCAGCATTCTAGCCTGGGGCAGTAGAGTGAGCCTCTGTCTCAAAAAGTAAATAAACTCGAATGAAGTAGATAAGTAATTCAAGGGTGTAGAGAGTGAAAGGTCCCTTCTCACAATCCCAACAAATATTAAATGTTTTGTTTTTATACTTCTCCCTTCTTTCCAAATAACAATAAAACCCCACCCCAACTTGTCACAATATAACATGCACAGCAAAAATATAGTGAAGTGGATACAAAAATAATACATGTTCCTTGTGGAAAATCTGAAAATAGAGAAAAGGACTAGGAGTAAATTTAAAGTCAGCTTTCACCCTACCACCTAGAGATGACACTATTGACCATGTGGAGAATTCAATTTCAGCACATAACTACAGCATCTCAGAGTGACAGGGCCGTGGCATCACAGCTCACAGCAACCTCAAATTCCTGGGCTCAAGCTGTTGCAGGAAGATGAGGCCCAATGGTGAGAAAGAACACCCAAACACCATGTTTGTAAGAGGAAGGGCTTTATTCATCTGCCGGTAGCTTAAGGCATAGATTTCAAATGGCTGTGCTCCTTGACTGGCTTGGTCTTTCCCTTTTTATTGACAGTCAAAAAGTTCCATGCCACAGGTAACCTTCTCATTGGCCAGTTTGAATCAAGCGGGAGATGCTCGTCTAGCCCCTACAAAACTACAGGATTTCACAGAACTTGGAAATTTCCAGGTTCCAGGAATTTAAGCCTACAAATTCCCAAGAGCTGAGTCACCATGGAGAGGACCCTGCAGGTGCATCCTTGCAGTTTCCCTGAGAAGACCTGTTCTCCCAGACCATGCCCTTCTCGGGGATCCTCTCTCAAAGCGATTCTCTTGCCTCAGCCTCCCAAGTAGCTGGGACTACAGGCGCCTGCCACAATGCCCTGCCATTTTTTGGTTATAGTTGTCATTATTGTTTGGCTGGCCCAGGCTGGATTCGAACCCGCCAGCTCTGGTGTACCTGGCCGGTGCCTTAGCCACTTGAGCCAACTTCAATTATTTTAAAGTGGATGTATGATACAAATAGAGAAAACTCTCTATGTAGGTAAAGCAGAAAATACTATGGCTCACTCAATAAGTAGTTCCCTTATGGTCTTCCTTCCCAAGAACTTAGGTGAGAAATTAAGACCCCATCCGAATCTTGGAGAGTTATTTAGCATTCTCAACTTCTTGGCCACCTAAGGCACATTATCACCGTTTCCCCGGTGATTGACAGTGACCATATCCAATAGCATCTTCCTATTTGCCCTTACCAACCAATCGAACGGAAGCAGGGGCTGGGGCGCTTCCACCCGGGCCAGGGAGGGTACCGTCTTCCTTACGCCTGCTGTGCATCATCAGTTCGCGCCAAGGGCACGATTGGCTCCCCTCATTTAACTGAGCGGCTGCTTTGTCGGCCTGGCAATGAATTGCGCTGGGGCGGTGGCGGCTCCCTCCCTGCGGTGGCTTCGTCTGGGCATCTGGCGGCCCCTTTCAGGTACAAAGGGACCCGCGGTCGTTGTTACGTGCTGAACTGACGAACTGAGGCATTTTCTCCTGAAGCTTGGGTCGTAGAGGTCACGTTGGATACGTTTTACGTCACTGGCTTGCGACAGAGAGTGGCTGCGTCCCTTAGTTGCGGGGTGGAACCTGTGGTACGCGGCGGGAGCGAGGGGCTGGAGAGGATTGGTTTTCGTCGGTGACTGTTGGGGTGTCGGGTCAGAGTGGGTGTGTTGGGGAATGACCTAACTGCGCACCTGTGCAATGACGTCGCTGCGGCTGTGTTCGGGGTTCCGGAGCAAGGACAGTTGGCGACAGTGAAAGTTCAGAGTCCGCAGAGTGTCTCCGTGTAGTCTTTTTCCCTCGGCTTTGCCATACAAAGTGTAGCCCGACAACCATCAGCACCAGCTTCTTGCGGGCGCCTGTTAAAAGTGCATTTTCTTGGGCCCCACCCCTGACCTACTTAAGAGTTGGTATTTTAAGACTTTCGGGTCATTTGTATGTACTGTAAACGTTGAAAACGTTAAGTGCAGTGGAAGGAGCATCGAATTTGGGGCAGACAGACTTAGTTTTGGATCTTGGCTCCTGCTTTCTGAGCTGCCTCGGAAAATGGTTATGAGGTTGTCGTCTCAAATCATTGGTGTTTCACCTTGGGAATTTTTACTTTCAGAATTGCCTGAAATTTTGATTACTAAATATGGTTCTTGTATAACCATGTCCCATTTTAAAATTAAATAATTTGGCTCGGCGCCTGTAGCTCAGCGGCTAGGGCGCCAGCCACATACACCAGAGCAGGTTCGAATCCAGCCCGGGCCCTCCAGACAACAATAACTCCAACCAAAAAATAGCCAGGCATTGTGGTGGGTGCCTGTAGTCTCAGCTACGTGGGAGGCTGAAGCAAGAGAATCACTTAAGCCCAAAGAGTTTGAGGTTGCTGTGAGCTGTGATGATGGGTTACCTCTACCCAGGGCGACATAATGAGACTCTGTCTTAAATAAATAATTGAATAATTTCATAGAATCTAAATCTTTAGTTGGGTGCAGTTGTTCCCTCCTGTAATCCTAGCACTCTGGGAGTCCGAAACAGGTGGATTGATCGAGCTCACGAGTTTGAGACCAGCCTGAGAAACAGTGAGAACCCCGTCTCTACTAAAAATAAGGTGGAAAAATACTACCCTGGCGTCGTGGCAGACGTCTGTAGTCTCAGCTATGGGGGAGGCTAAGGCAAGAGGATCCCTTGAGCTCAGGAGACGGAGGTTGCTGTGAGCTATGACGATGTCAGGGAACTCTAGTCAAGACCAAGGACCAAACAAAAACTAAATCCGTATGGTAAATGGATAATTACCATACTGGTAATGGTAAATTAGAATTGCCTGCCCCAAATGGATGAGTAATCATAAAAATCACATTGAAAACAAAAAGTTATAAGATTTTTATAGATAGTATAACAGGGCTTGAACCCAAGACCATTTTTCTGTTAGAAAGGGAGATTAGTGTTAGAAGGGCGTTGAGGATATACCATCTGTAAATGGAAATATCTTCCCTGATGAAATCAAAAGGATTGGAAGAGAATTTTATGATTTTTATTTTATTTAAAAAAACTTTTTTTTTTTTTTTTTGCCCCAAGGTAGAGTGCTGTAGCTTCATAGCTCACAGCAACTTCAAACTCTTGGGCTCAAAAGATCCTTTTGCCTCAGCCTCCCAAGTAGCTGGGACTACAGGTAGATGCTACAACACCAGGCTAATTTTTCTGTTTTTAGTAGAGATGGGGTCTTGCTGTTGCCCAGGGTGGTCTTGAATGCCTGAACTCAAGCAATCCACCTGCCTTAGCTTCCCAGAGTGCAAGGATTATAAGCATGACCCACTGCACTTGGCCAAAAATGAATTTTAACACTCTTAATGTTGAGCCAATGAGCATAACAGTAAGAATCACTCATTTTTATTTATAAAGTTATTTTGCTTCCTATATCTCATTGTATCCTCATAACTCAGAAAAATTCTATTATTGTATGTTTTCCCTTAAAAAAGAGACAGCCTGATTATTGCCAATTTTATATGTAAGAAATTTCAATTCTGATTTATCCAAAGTTAGAGTTAGAGATGAGACATGCATTTTATGACTCCCCTTGTCTATGCCTCTTTGCTTAATGTGTGGCATTTAAAACACTACCTGCTATAAAAGTTCAAGTGCAGAACCACCCCAAATTTCAGTGTAACCCACACTATCATTTTGTGTCCAAAGCACTGAAGCCTTTTTAATGAAAGAGCCACAGATGTATCCAAAATGAGTTTTCCCCCCTACACTGTCATGTTAGTCACAGCATACAAGCCCTGAAAATGTTTCTCAGTGCTACCACTGCAGGTCGAAGCTAGCGTTATAGATTAAATGACCTCTGGGTCTCTGTTTCCATGTTTGTAAAATGAGGTGAATTACATACCTAAGCATCCTACAAAACTCTTCTGTTACAGGGAAGAGAGAGCTTTTGAGATACCCTAATGTAAGTCTCAGAGAATATAATTAAGGAGTTATGATTAAGATATTTTTTTAAAGGGGAAATCTAGTCTGTCCTGAAAAAATTTTACATTTTGAATGTGAGAGAAATGTAGCTGAATTGTTATTGGACCATAATGAGGTGAAACCTAAGCTCTGAGGCTGCAGTCTGAAAGTTAAATGCCAGTGATTATGGGTGTTTTAAGGAAACTTTCTGTAGTTCTCAACCTTGGCTACAGAGATGATTTGTGCAAGAGGTTTTTATTTTTTTATTTTATTATTTTGAGACAGAGTCTCACTATGTCACCCTCAGTAGAGTGCTGTGATATCACAGCTCACAGCAACTTCAAACTCTTGGGCTTAAGGGATTCTCTTGCCTCAGCCTTCCAAGTAGCTGGGACTATAGGTGCCCACCACAATGCCTGGCTATTTTTTTTGTTGTTGAGGTCGTTGTTGAGGTGGCCTGGGCTGGATTTGAAACCGCCAGCCTTAGTGCATGTGGCCGACGCTGTAACCACTGTGTTACAGATGCTGAGCCTGCAGGAGATTTGTGAAAATATCAGGATCAGCTTGGTGCCTGTAGTTCAAGCGGCTAAGGCGCCAGCCACATATGCCAGAGCTGGCGGGTTCAAATCCAACCTGAGCCACCAACAACAATGACAACTACAACCAAAAAAAAAAAAAAAATAGCCAGGTGTGGCGAGTACCTGTAGTCCCAGCTACTTGGGAGGCAGAGGCAAGAGAATCGCTTAAGCCCAGGAGTTGGAGGTTGTTGTGAGCTGTGAGGCCACAGCACTCTACCCAGGGTGACAGCGTGAGGCTCTGTCTCAAAAAAAAAAAAAAAAAAGGAAAAAAAGACTCAGTATCACACACACACCCCCTGCCGATTGATTAGGGAGAAGCATTGTGTTTTTGAATGCGCTACTGTACAGCCTGGCTAGGGAGAAGCAGGTTGGGAGGGATGGGTGAACTGTAGAACCACTCCCATCTAGAAGCAGCTGCTATATTAACTGTTAAGAAGACAGACAGGGTTTCCAGATCTTCATACACTTAAAGTGAAGCAAGATTTTCAGATCTCTCTTTTTTTTTTTTTTTTTTTTTGAGACCAATTCTCACTTGGTCACCCTTGGTAGAGTGAGTGCCTTGGCAACTTAGCTTACAGCAACTTCAAACTTTTGGGCTCAAGTAGTCCTCTTACCTCAACCTCCCAAGTAGCGAGGACTATAGGTGCCTGCCACAACACCTGGCTAGTTTTCTTTTAGAGATAAGGTCTTGCTCTAGCTCAAGTTCGTCTCAAGCTCAAGTAATCCAATCCGCCTCAGCCTTCTGGAGTGCTGGGATTATAGGCGTGAGCCACCACACTGGGCCAGAAATTCAGATCTATAGGTAAAATCCTCTGTTTTAATACTGCATGTTAAACAGAATATATTAATGGCAAATGCAGCCCACGAGGAGCTTACTTGTGACCTCAGTCCTAAAGTGCCCCTTTCTTCTGTCTGTAAGAGAAAAACCTCAGCTTTACTGGAGAGTAATGAAGAATGAACACTTGTATTTCAGCTTATGGAAGAAGAATCAGTGTCAGATTTTATAGTTCAAGAATGACCTTAGACACCATCAATCGGGCAGCTGTGGATCGAATAATCAGGGTGGATCATGCAGGCGAATATGGAGCCAACCGCATCTATGCTGGGCAGATGGCTGTCCTGGGTCGTTCCAGTGTCGGGCCCATCATTCAGGTGGGCACTGCCTTGTCTCTCTCAGCCTGGCCTGCTCAATGGGTGGATCTGAAGGCCTTCAAATCATGAATCACATTCCCAAGGGGGATGCATGCTGTTGTCTCCCAAGAATGAACAATTGGTTCTTGAGGGAAACAGGGAGTGAAAAGCATTTTATTCTTTTTCTTTATAAAGTATAGGTAGATATATACTGCATAAACAAACCGTATCTGTGGTATTAAAACTTCATGGCAGGGGCAGGCCATAATGAAAAAAAGGTCAAGAAATACTTCATTAGGTGAAAGCACCATGCGCTGAGGGGCTTAGTCCTACCCCATGGAGCACCAAGGGAGATTCTGTATACTGAGAGACAGTGGAAGGGCCTAGAGTTGATAGTCACATAGACCTGGAGTCATATTTCTGCTTTTTGCCACCTGCTATCTGTGTGACCTTGTATGTCATATGACCTCTCTGGGTCTTCACTTCTCTATACACAAAATGGCCTGATAATGGCCTGGGTTTGGGTGAGGAGTAAATGGGCTCGTATAGAGCAACTAACACCATGCCTGGCCTATAATAGACAAGTTAGTACAAGTTTGATTGCCTGCTCTGAGTCCTTCGGCAAGTTATTTAACCTCTTTGTCTTTCACGGGGCAGCTGAGTGGATTCAGTGAGTTGCCTGTGTAACACCATTTGACAGCACCTGGCACTTAGGAGGTGCCATCGAAGTGTTAGCTGTTATCTTTCTCCCTTTTTCCTTTGATGTAAATGATACTAATATTCTAGTAATATGAAAGGAAATCACCCAATCTCTATATTTTGCTCTTTTGATTTTGCAATGGGTTAAATGTCTCATTTTTCATGTTTATGGACCCTTTTCATATAATAGGCACACTGGTGATGTGAGTCTTCTGCCAGACCTGGTCTTATCTGGAATTAAGATAACTGGCTCATCTTTTGGTTTGTTGATAGTCTCTTTCCTGTATCAAATGTGCCTTTTAGTCTGAAATTTTACTTTTTTCATTGATGTTTTGAGGGGAGTGGAGGAGACAGCAATTCCCGTCATTTTCTCCATTTCTGGTTTGCTTTCTGCATGTCACAGGGATGGGCCATATAGCTTCCTCATTGCATAGCAGGAGGCCCCTATGGAATTCTTACATGTCTTTATTTTTATGTTTTTTGCAGAAAATGTGGGATCAAGAAAAAGATCATTTGAAAAAGTTCAATGAGTTGATGGTTACATTCAGGGTACGGCCGACAGTTCTGATGCCATTTTGGAACGTGATGGGATTTGCACTGGGTGCGTGTCTGTATGGAAGAGCTTATGTGAGTTTAAGGATATAGGATGATTAAATCATTCAGGTACCACTTTCACAATTTTTGCTCTATCTTCTTACATCCTTGGTTTATTTATTTACTTAATAATTTTCTAAAGGCAAATTGACAGCTTTTATTTTGCTTCAATTTATTTATTTATTTATTTTAGAGACAAGAGTTTCATTTTGTTGCCCTGGGTAGAGTGCTGTGACATCACAGCTCACAGCAACATCCAGCTTTTGAGCTTAGGCAATTCTGTTGCCTCAGCCTCCTGAGTAGCTGGGACTACAGGCATCCGCCACAACACCCAGCTATTTTTTGTTGCAGTTTGGCTGGGGCCAGGTTCAAAACCACCACCCTTGGTATGTGGGTC